CAGCAGCAGCAGCAGCAGCTGAAATGAACTACTTTGACAATCCAGCGGTCATATTCGATCGCAAGACAATATTGGATGTCCAATGGGACAAAATGAAAGAAAAGTGGTTGATAATACATAGACTTCCGTGTGTTTATCTTTTTTTCATGGATAAAAGTGTTAAAATTTGCTGTCTTTGGCTGTAAATAGCCGTTTCGAGGTTGAGGGAAAACCTGGGTCGAGTTTGCATTGCAGTGCATTGTGGGACTGTTTTAGGGGACGAATTAGACGCCATGCTGGAAATATGAGAGGTACCAAACAATTAGTTTTGTCATACTTTCCGATACTTCTAAATTAAAAATCTAATGAATTCAAATGCAAATGACATTAATTCTTTCGGTTTGAAGGGACCCATTTTGCTGTAGAAATAACTTGATCACAAATTAATGGATTTTCTCTTCACGCATGACACCCATTCTCATTCTTGATGGGTAGGAACGAACCTGAGGAGCACTGAGTAAGARAATGTATAACACCATACAGAGGGTTTTCCTTCTCAGGAGCATGCGCGTTTTTATTAAATATTCAGTACTAAGCTACTAGCCATGCATAAGTCCAAAAATCAATATTCTAAGCCAAAAAAGCAGTTTTCTAATCGAACATGCATTTGCCCACCATGGAAGTCTACATAACCGCGTCTTCTTTTGAAACCCGACTCATTTTCTCCACCAACTCAGCTGGGAATCGCACCCAGTCCTCTCGGCTCGTAAGCCGAGCGTGCCCTATTACACTACTGAGTTTGGGGTGGTGTTTAGAGACAGGAAGGCCAAAACACAATGCCAATCGAAATAAAAAAGTAATTTGATTTTTTAAGAATTTGAAACATTTTGAACTGGCACATATTTAAATAAAATTAGGTATTATATAGCATCTTCAGGACTGGTCTCCTTCAGCATCTTGAAGCGTATCTAAAAAGCACCTGTGAACGCCACATGGAATGGATCTTGAGTCTTGCAGAAACATCTTCAATGGTAGAAAACCATGCCGGCCAGATCTATATCTCAGTTGGAAGACGTTGAAAAGCCAAAAAAAGTTTAGACGTTTGTTGAAAAACCAAAAGAATTTAGACGTTTGTTGAAAAACCAAAAGAAGTTWAGGCGTTTGTTGAAAAACCAAAAGATTTGAAGTTTAGGCGCTTGTTGAAAAAYCAAAAAAAGTTTAGGCGCTTGTTGAAAAACCAAAAAAAGTTTAGGCGTTTGTTGAAAAACCAAAAGAAGTGTTGAAAAACCAAAAGAAGTGTTGAAAAACCAAAAGAAGTGTTGAAAAACCAAAAGAAGTTWMGRCGTTTGTTGAAAAACCAAAAGAAGTTAAGGCGTTTGTTGAAAAACCAAAAGGTTGACACATTTGACCAAAACAAGTGGACGCATTTGTTGAAAATCCAAAGAAAACCTTAACGCTGTTCAGTGAAAAACCAAAAACAGTGAACCCGTTTGATGATAAACCAAAAAACGTTGAAGAGTCGGCGTTTGTCGAAAATCCAATGTGGTCGATGCTGATTCGTTGAAAAACCAAAACTTGAATACGACTAATTTATAGAACGCTGCAAAATATAAAAATAAAAATACCAAAAGGTGTGTGTGCAAATTAATTGAAGTTTTTTTATTTTTATATCCTAACAGCGTCCTTAAAATTAGGCGTGGCGTCGTCGCTGGAATTGACATCTGGAAAAAAACCAAGGCATCTTTAAAAATGTTGAAAACCTCTGGAGTTGAATTCCAAAAAGCAGATCAAAGTTCGTTGAAAACTTCTGGGGTTGAAATCCAAAAAAGCTGAAAGTTTTATTCCATTAGAACAAGGCTCAAGAGTGATTTACATTTTATTTACATAAATAGACATAAAGACATAAATAGTGTGCCAGATAAAAGAAGCCAATTGAGAAAGTGAAAAAAGCCAATTAGATAGATTCCTTATAAAAACTTTATCCGTGAAAATCACTAATGTAATTTTGGTGCGCTGCCAGCTACGAAAAACCAGAGACTAGAGAA